GGCTCAGGACAATGGCCTCAGATTTGGAGGTGCTGATTGTCATTCCGCTTCACATTCGTCTGTGAACCGTTCCAGTGCAAACTGTGGGCCATCACCTGATGAAGCCAACAGAACCTCATCATCTGTGAAAAGCAGAGATGAGCTTCTGAGTGAAAGCCTTCCGCCACTTGGCGATGCCTAGAAATTCTGTCTATTGAAATTATGAAGAGAATCTGTGACAAAAGGGCAGCCCTGGCAGAGTCCATCATCCACTGAAAAGGAGTCCGACTTATTGCTGGCTATGCGGACCAAGCTCTTGCCACGGTTGTATAAGGATGGAATGGCCCGTAGCAATGGGCCAGACACCCCATACTCCCAAAGCACCTCCCAGGATTAGGTTAGATCTTCATGCAACATCGTAGCAGCATGCCGACCAAGACAGCCCTACTACATTCAGAGCCTTCAGGAACTCGGCTCCTTCCCCGGGGCACAGCCACAAAGAAGTTGTTTGACTGCCTCATTGACCTCACCCCCAGAGATAGGTGAGTCGTCCCTCTCTGCTTCCTCCACAGAAGATGTGCCAGTGGCATTCAGGAAGGCTTCGAAGTATTCGTTCCACCACCCAAAAATGTTCTCAGCCGAAGTCAGCAGGACTCCATCAACACTATACACAGTGCAGGTAGAGCATCGTTTGACCCTCCTGAGTCACCTGACGGTTTGCCAGAATCTCTTCGAGACAGTCCAAAAGTATTCTTCCATGCCTTCTCTGAACTCTTTGCACACCCTAATTTGTGCTTCAGCCACTGCCCAAGGCGCGTTCTGCTTGGCCTGTTGGTATCTACCAGCTGCTTCCATAGTCCCACATGCTAACCAAGCCTGATAGGAATCCTTCTTCAGCCTGGTGTCTCCCTTCATCTCTGGTGTCCTCCCCCGCCACCTAATCCAACTCACCGCCAGGTGGTGATCAGTTGACAGCTCAGACCCTCTCTTTGCCCTTGTGCCCAGAACATATGGCCGTGGGTCTGGAGATATGATTACAAAACCGATTGACCTGTGACCTAGGGTGCCCTGGTGCCACGTGCACTAATGGAAACCTTTATATTTGAACATGGTGGTTGTTATGGACAAACTGTGATTTGCACAGAAGTCCAACAACAAAACACCACTCGAGTTCAGATCCGGCAGGCCGTTCCTCCAAGTCTCACTGTTGTTGAAGCCCCATGAGTGTTGAAGTCTCCCAGTAGGACAGCAGGGTCCCCAGGTGGAGCACCGTCAAGTACCCTGCCCAGGAACTCCAAGAAGGCCGGGTACTCTGAACCGTCGTTTGGCACATAAGCGCAGATAACAGTCAGGATCTGTTCCCTGACCCAAAGGCGCAGGGAACAAACTCTCTCGTCCACTAGGGGAAACCCCAATGTACAGGCAGCAAGCCAAGGAAATACTAGTATGGTCTTGTGTGCCTTTCCAGAGGTTCTGGCAGAGGATATTCTGAAGACCTATCCATTTAGGTTTAGTTGGTGCATCCCATCCTCACCCAAACTGTGCATCTTAAGTGACATAAGTGAATTAGATATTCAACCATATACAACACATCTAGTCCTTACTTCCCCATACATCGATAATAAAATTATCCTTATGAATTGGAAATTAAAAAATGATTTGTATATTACGCAATATAGAAATTTAATCTAGATTAAATTAGTTTGGAGAAAAGGTCTGCCTCCTCCCGTCTGCATTAGCTACACTATCCTTTGTGGTAGGGTCGGTGGGTGCTGGCCTTGGGTGCAGCCGTGTTCTGGGGCACTGTTGAAATGGTCCAGAGTCGCTTTTCCTTGGTTGGTGGTGGGGCTGCAGAGGGGGTGACAATCACTACTGTCTGCCTCTCAGTGTTACATGCACCTTAGACATTGGGGGGAAGGTGTAGATTTCCACTGTTGACCAGCAGTCTTGTACTCATGTCCCATCTGTCCCCTCAACTTTGATAGCACTCTACTTTTCACATAGTCATTCTCACTATTAACGCCTCATGCACCTCACACAAAAATTAGGGCCAAGGATCAGGTTCTCCGGCACAAACAGAGTAATATAGTGCACGCTGTTAAGTGCCAGGAAGATTGATGTAATTTATATATTGCTTTATAGACCGGTCGCCACTCTTTCAATGATGAGCATGTACAGATGTACAGATCCTGATACAGGATGTATAGGACTGGTTTAAATGGGTGGTCAGGGAAGCCATTAACATTAAAAGGGAAAGACCATCTCTAAATTGAGCAAGGGGGCTAAGGGTACATCTTTCACCATCTTACAATGCTGTGATTGCAGCCATTCCCCAACTCTCTGTGAATGGTGCTTTGATCAGTGGTTGTTTATCAGAGGTAATGACAATTTGGATATTAATGATCGACAAACTGACCTCACAACCTATTTGTTTAAAAGGCCAGCAGTCCTGCAGTCAGCTGAGACTGAAGAATTCACTTGGATGAGTGTCAAAATGTTTCTCCAACAGAACAGAATCAACTTGAGATGTGTGTGTGTGTGTGTGTGTGTGTGTGTGTGTGTGTGTGTGTGTGTGT